TCCCTCCGCGTCGGCGAATTTGAGAACGGCAGTGTTCACCAAGGCATTGGGGACGTCGCACATCACGCTGACACTGGGATCGACCCCAGCCAACTCCTCAATTCCAACGATGGCAGATGTGAAGTTCATGCCGGCTCCACCATATTCCTCCGGAATCTCCACGCCCATTAATCCTTGTTCGAAGAGTTGCTCAACAATCGCAGGGTCCATAGTTTCGGCTTCATCCATTTCTCGAACCTTCGGGCCAATTTGCTCCTGGGAAAACTTGGCTACAGATTCGGCCATCATGGCTTCAGTCTCGGACAGAAGGGTAATAGGGGTGGGGGTGAGGGAGGTAAGGTCTACATCACGGCGAGACGGGGTGGCAGAGAACGGGCGGATGCTGAAAGATATTTCCACAAGGCATTAGGTCCATTGGCCTGGATATATGTAACTGCATTTATCACAAAACAATGAAAATGGATTGGATTCTCCCCGGTATCTCTTTGAGGCTTGAGGGGCAAGGAAGTCTCATACCATTGGAATGTCCTTGAGGGCACAGATTTTCGTGCTGTGTGGAGAATGTAAGCGGGTCTTCTTGCTAACGGCCGCAGCGCTCTGGCAGCTGTCGCCATAATGAGTGATATTAAAAGGATACAGGGGTTAACAGATTCGAACGCCAAAAGAATATAACGTGAAGCAGTCCGTGGTAGGCAATACAGTGTGGTATGGAAACTTGACGAGATGAAAAGTCGAACGTCGATGTTGAAAATCGGATTGGCCACTGGTCAGGGGGTAGCGGCTAAGCCTCGGCTACTTGCGGTGGGATACGTCACATGACCCTCATGATTGGCCAGATTCTCCTCTTGGGCTTCAAAAAAAAAAAAAAAAAAAAAAAAATTTGAAGATAGAAGAAAATGATAAATTTCCTTTGCTAAACGAGGGGTTAAAAACGATGGAAACTATGTGACCCGCACCACGTATCTCAATTCTCTCTCCCAGTAACCAATAGTATCACCCTGAGGTCGCATTCGATTATCAAGCATTTCGAATAGCTTCAATACAGCCAAACTAAAAATGATCACTGAGGGAAACCTGGAGGCTTCTTCTCCCAGCCAGCTGGTGGCATGTTGTGTATGTTGTGTACGTTGTTGTTAGAAGCTGCGCCCCCCAGAACTTGATAGTTTGAGAATCGTTCGTCGGCCACCAGCCACAATATGTGGCGTCCACCCGTTGGTGCGCTTGTGATTGGTGGCGGTGACATCATCAGCATCTTCTCCCACCAATCTTCGCCGGTGATGCAGCGCCAAGCTGCGTTGACGCCGTGATGGTCACCGACGGACGCAGGCTGTGCCAAATATATCACCTGCACCAGATTCTGGAGTAACAATTCTTGGATTCTGGAGGTTCCCTATGGAGAACACCTGCCAAGCCCCGCCACGAACGGTGCAGATGTGAAGTTGTGCAGCTGTGGCCCAGTGAAACCCCGCTATTAAAAGCTTGCGCTCGCCGCCCGTCCCCCACTCCTCCCAGCATCAAAGCGACGGATCGAGGAATTTTCGAGCAACCCTGGAAGAATCTTTGTCTTCCTTCCTCCTTCCTTCCCTCCTTCCTTTGTTTCAATCCAAAGCGAAACGGGCCTGTTCCATTGTGCCAAGGGGTTTCATATACTAGCCCCTATCCTCATTCTCACTTGGTCTGGCAGTTCCGAATCCTCGCCTGTGATAGTACCACCACCCCTGCTGACATATTTATATCTACCCTGTTGTCTTCAGTCTACGTACGCACACCATTAAATAGCAACTATTCCTCCCCCCAAGTTGTTATTTGCCCTAACCCTTTATATACACTCAGAACTAGTAGACCGTGGCGAAAATGTCTCGAGGCCCATACGACCCTCGTTTGTTCTTCAGCATTGACAATATTCGGGCGTTCCACATTCAAAATGGAGAGGAATCAGAACTCACCACGTCGGGTCCCCAAACCCTTTCTCTCTTGATGGTCCCGACTTCCTGTCCCCCTACAGATCCTGAATTAGCCTCGCAGCCACCAGAAGATGACTTTTACCTCCACCTCCACCTCCCACCGGAGTTGGATCTGCCCTTGCCCGCAACGACCCAGATATACCACCAGCCACCAAACAGCTACCTCATTCCACGCTGGGACCTAGGCCCAAACGCAGGCGCATTCACGCGGATCGAATTCCCGTCAATTGGCAGTGGGCCAGGGAAGGTGTCTCAAGAAGATGTGGATACCTTCGAAACCATTCTCGCCCAATGTACCGCATTTCTTGAGCGATCTCCGCCTCCTAAGTTCGCTCCGTATCACCCTGCCACCTATGCTCCTGGAGAAGGATATATCGGGTCTGGCGGTGAAAAACAGCCTGCGAAACGCCAACCTGGCCAAATTGTCCTCGTCGATGAGGAGAACGGAAGTGTTGTTGGTGAGCTGACGGATAGCTTCAATATCGTGGAGGATGTAGATGTGAAACATGGTTCAAAGAGTATTGTAACCCATATATATCATCGACACATATCCCAATTGGTAAATTGCTAACAATGACTGGATAGATCCGGTTGAGATACAGCTCCCTACCGAAGGGCAAGGAAACAATATATCTGTCCATAATGTTTCCGACGAATATCTGCAAACAGCAAGGCACCCTGCCTATGCGAAATCTACCATTGTTCAAACGTCTGCAACAGCCTCGCGGCTTCTGGTTGCCGGTTCCGCATATATTGCCAAGTCCATACAGTCAGGAGCAAATACCTTCACCCAGAAAACGAAACCAAATTCCAAGCCCATGACATTTACCCCTACCGCGCAAGCACGTATGAGGAGAATCAATACATTTTCAAGCAACGCTGCTGGGTTGTCATCTAAAACCGTCAGTAAGGTTACCAAGGTTGCTCAAAACTTCGGCGCCACCATTGCAGGCAAGAAAGATTTAAATTTTGAGCCTAGAGGATTCGACGAGAACGGCCGACCGATATACCACTCCAAGCCCGGAATTTTGAACAAATCTTTGATCGCCTTCTCGACGATTGCAGATGGTATTGACCAAGGTGCCAAACAGCTTCTCCACTCAGGACAGCTCGCTGCGACTACGGTAGTCGGCCACCGCTACGGCCCAGAGGCGGCAAAGTTCACGTCGGAGCTCACTGGTGGCGTCAAAAATGTTGGTCTGGTGTACATCGACGCGGCGGGAGTGTCTCGCAAAGCAGTCCTCAAATCTGTTGCGAAAGGAATGGTTGTTGGGCGCATGAAAGATGGACAGCAGATTGTCGTTAGCGACGGCGATGCGCACTCTGTGAAATATCCCGGCATTCCGGGGCAAAAACCTCCGCCGTTCATGAGATCCGGGACCAGTCAGAATCTTTCTGGGCTTACCCCTGGAAACGCTTATCTTCCTCGCGGCTCGTCTCCGTCTCCTACTCCGCCGCCTGCCTATGGCTCGCAGAGCGGGCGATCCCTTGGCGGGACTACGTTGCGAAATGGCAAATAGCCCGGGCTTGAGGAGCTTTATGTCATGAGAAATGTTTTGAAAAATCGGGTCGATAATTCTCCTTCCCCTTTTCCATCCTTTTTTTTTTCTCCCTTTTCCGTCTTCTCCATTCTCCTCGCCAGACGTTTTGATAGTGGCCCGTTTTATGGTTTCATTTAGTTTTTTTACCGGGTTTTACGATTTACGATGTTGGCTGCATGTCCTCCAAAAGATTATATATTTTGTGGATAAGGCAGTGTTTGGGAAACTTTCGCTTGATATTCTGTTCTTATTGTAACGCCCCCATAGTTATGTAAATGTTTTGTTCTGACTTTCACTGGGCTATTTAAAGTTTCAGGAAATTTTCTATTTTACATCCCATCTTTCATTTTTTCCCCCGTTTATAGTTTCAATGTGTCCCTTCTTGCAGGTTTCCTTGACTGGTCTTTCACATGACCCATGACTTGACGATACCCTCACGCACTTTCTGTTGGGCCCATAAACTCGGGTTGAGAATTAACGAAACGATAATTTTATTCTCCTTCAACTTCTTTTTTTCTTTTCTTTTTTATTAGTAACTTGGTGGATGATGCCGATAACTGTCACCCGAACCGACCATACATGGGACTTTCGAATGGAGTTTCACAATCTAACATACAGGTGGCTTGTCAGAAAGGAAACTGGGTAGTGGTTAATCTAACTAGATGAACCTCACAAGTGCCAAAAACACCGTCAACTAAACTAGCCTTAATACCCAGGCCCCTCCTTGTCCATCTCTCTTTTAGCTTAGTGTCACGATCTGAGCAGCCGTAATGACCAGTTCTGGGTCGACTAGGTAAGTAAGCTGTCCGTTTTTGGAGGGTGGCTTTGTCTATTCCATCCTGTTAACTTCGGCGTTGGGCTGGGGAAGATCATCTTCGACTGAAAGCTCACCCCAAACTGCCCTCCGCCGCGCGGATGTCCCCCAAACGAGCGCCCGGCTGTGGGACCCTGTACAGAGTTATTTCCAATCGGATGTCTCCAGCTGGTGAAATTAGAATATTACCCTGATGCAAGTCTTCATGGGTCAACTTGCAGCATTGAGGTAGAGAAGAAAACAAGTCGTTTGAATGCGTTTACATCTTTATAAGGTCCTGATTAGAGATGGCTTGCAAAAGACATAATCGTGCAAACGTGCGCAGTGGATGGATCCTATAGTTAAATACTTAGTGGAAAAAAAAAAAAAAAAAAAAAAAAAAAAAAAAATCAACTGATGGACACTTGTGGAATACATGCATCCTGATAAAAGAGTCACTGGGATCTGGCTCAATTTGCTGAAGCAAAGAAACAATCTCACATAACTGATCACAAATGAAGTTTCCATCCAGCCCATACAGCCATGTCTCCCAGAACAAGCTTCATATAAATGAACACACAATTTTGATAAGCTCTCCACCCATACACTTCTGCAGCAGTCGGGAAGCTCTTATGGCTTGTTTTGGTGAAGGAGGAGTCAAGGAAGTCTAGACATCTTCGTTTGCGTTGCGTCTCCAGAGTCGCTGCTGAATTTGTTATTCAATGGACATCTTAGTGACAAGGCTTCAGTGCAAGGGAAGAAACGAAGAAAGAAAGAAAGACACCATCCCAAAGTAACCTCCTGGCCAACGAGGCGGATCTACAGATCTATTGTTGTTCTGTGAGGCAGAAGACCAAGGTCACATGACTCAGGCAACCGACCTCTTCTTGGGGGGTTCCCCTTTTCGTGGACAAGCTCCGATTCCACACCGACCGACCTATACTGTTCGTATACTAGTTGGTCTCTTGTGGAGGAGTTCGCCTGTTGGCTTACATTAGTGGAAGGCAACAACCTCCCTAGCGTTGTTGTCACAATGGCGGAGGGGCAAGGTGTCTGCCGGATCTCTGCCCCTCTTCACCAAGATGAAGGAGTTTCATGAAGGTTTTTGTCAGGGTTCGTTAACCCCTCGGTATATACCAAAGTGCCCAAAGTGGTCCTGCTGCCTGCTATTTCCTGATTGGCCTTGGAGCTCCTCTGATTTCGAAGACAGCAAAGCTCTTTGAGAGGGCATTTAAAAAGCGCCTCGAATCCGTGATTTTATCGCTCTTCTCTTCATTTTTTTGTTTGTCTCGTTCTCTGCCACAACTTATAACAATAAGAACACAATTGATTTATTGGCAGCGTGTTCAGAATTGTCTTTTGACCAAACTTCGGAATCTGTTCGGGAATTCATATCCGTCCTATAACTTTCACTTTCTCCACTTGTTCATTTCCTTGAATCCCCAGTCCGTCTCCCAACCATGGAGCTCCCATCGATCCCCGTTCCTCTGAACGGCTTTGTTCCTTATCTAAATGGACACAGCCGCGATGAGATTCTCACCGGCAAGGCGATGAAACCCTTCAAAGCTTACGAATATAAGCTCCGTGAAATCTTTGCTCAAGAGCCTAACAATAAGGCAATTGAGAATCCCCACGTCAATGTCGTCCCCCTTTATCTTCAGCCCGATGTAGATGTCAAAGTGAAGGCGCGGGACCTTGTCAAAGAAAGCCCAGCGGATGCTGAAAAGTATATCCTTCCCCTGGCAGCCGAAATGCGGAAAAAAGATTCCACTGCTGCCGTGGTTCCGACTTTCAATCAGTTCCTCGAGAATTTCAGGATCTTTTCAGAATCGTCACTAGTTGATATGGACTGGAGCAATGTTGTCGTTGCCGGGAGTGCGGTGACTACTTGTCTATTGCCAGTTCCTGATAAATTCGGGTCGTCGCGCAAGGCTCAGAGGTAAGTTGCTGCAAATTTGGTCATCTATCTGTCTCGTGCTTGATAACTACATGTTCTCTGTTGATTGTTCTGACTGATTGAACAGGGAATACTACCACGAGAAAATTGCTCCGTCTTCGGATGTCGATCTATTTCTCTATGGTCTTGACGAGGAGCAGGCAATTGAGAAGATCAAGCAAATTGAGAAATGCATCCGCGACAGTATTCTGGAGGAAGTCAGCGTATGTCTAGCTCTGTTGGCTATATTTATTCGGCGTCGTGCCTGCAGAACTCTAATTGTGGAAAACAGGTTATTCGGACCAAAAATGCCCTGACTATTGTTTCGAAATATCCTACTCGCCACGTTCAGATAGTACTCAGGCTCTATAAAAGCGTCTCGGAAGTCTTGACCGGTTTTGATGTGGATTGTTCCTGTACTGCGTTCGATGGCCGTCAAGTCTGGGCCAGCCCCAGGGCCGTTGCAGCTTTTGCTACTCAGACTAATTCCATCGACCTTACCCGGCGTTCACCTTCGTATGAAAACCGTCTTGCAAAATATGCCCATCGTGGATTTGAAGTGTATTGGCCAGCTTTAGATCGTTCAAGATTGGATCCTACAATATTCGAAAGAAGCTTTAACCACGTTGTTGGTCTTGCACGACTCCTGGTCATGGAGAAGCTTCCCACTCAGCTCAACAGAGAAAACTATCTTAACCAACGACGTGAGGAGCGCGGCAGAGCCACTACCAGTCGTACCAGGGCTTATTATGTCAACAGAGAGAATCTAAAAGAAGTACAACCCGAAGATGTTGCGGAATGGGTTGAAGAGGAGGATGTGTCTAGGTATCATACGTTCACAATTCCCTATGGCCCAAAATATACGTCAAAGAAGGTAACTTTGATTAAGAGTGTCGTGCTGATGCAGGCGTGACCAGATGCTAATTTTTTATCAACAGATCGAGAAAATGATTTACAAAAATGATTTGTTGTTGAATGCGGAATGGAACAGGCCAAAAGACCGAAAAGTGAATTTGCACAGGCATCCCGCGTTTTTCGGCAGCGTGAAGCATGTCATCGAAGATTGTTGCGGCTACTGCCCCGCTCCTAGTACAGAGGAGGAAAAGTCCATCGCGGCGGACGAGGGCAAAAAATATTTGTCGGGCAAAATCCAATTTATGAAGCATGACCCAGGGAGACAAACCATTGGGAGTTTTAACCCTATTACTGATTCAGACTGGACTGAATTCGCATACACTGGCGGCACGGAAAGCCTTTGCCAAGCTATTGTTGCGGGCGATCTTACCCACGTTCAGAAATGCTGTGCCCAAGAAGACTTCAACATTGACCAGCGAGATCATACTGGTCGCATGCCTCTTCACTTAGCGATCATCTGCGGAACCCCCGAAATTGTACGATGCCTCGTACACCATGGGGCACGCCTTGTCAGTCGTGTCGCTGGCGGGTTTACCGCTCTTCACCTTGCTGCAGCCCGCGGGGATGTGGAAATCCTTCGGGCAATACTGAGGAAGAGCGAAGCGAACCAGGTTGAATATCTTGAGAATTCGGGCACAAAACAGAGAAATGCGAGCCCGTCAATTGCATCAAATGAGGATGACGATGAAGAGGCAGAAGAGGATGACATTTCAGTAATAGAAAGTGGCGCAAAGTCTCCATTTGCTGTGTCTCAAGGGTCAATGATTGTAGTCACGGACTCATCAAAAACACCCCAGGAGGAACAGGATGAGGACGAAAACGAACCTAACTTCTACGATGATATCGGGGTGCTTTCGTGGGATCATCCAATTAGTCCACTTCATGTGGCGATCTTACACGGCCATACGGACATTATCACCACCCTCACTACAGAGTTCGGTGCAGACGCGAGCCAACCTTTTGTCCAAAAGGAATACAATACTTATTATGTGATCTTTTCCATGATCCTTGCTATGCACCTTCCATTCGAACAGTCCACAGATGTGTTGCGAACTCTCCTTGAATTGGGAGCTTCCTCGACGCAAGCCAACAAGGATCATATAACCGCATTCCATTCTCTTGTAATAGCCGGTGAGCCTCGCCATATAGATTTAATATTCGACATCGACGCAGCGGCTGCCCAGCTTGCAATTAACCATCCATTTATAAGCACATCCTGGCGTCCTCAAAGTGCGTTGCCTCTTAATTCAGCAATTAGCTACAAAGGAACCGGGATGGTTGAGAAGTTATTGGAGAAAGGAGCAATCGTGTCAGGATTCTTTGAACGTTTGCGGCGCATCTGGGCACGTCGAAATAATCAAGCTAATAAGATTGAGCATATTCTGCATCAACCAATTATTCAAGCAGCTGAGTTTTCAACTCCTGCTGTTGTCAAAACACTTTTGGATGCTGGAGCGGAAGTTAACGCAATCACGACGGGCTCTCATCGATTGATTGACAAACAAACCTACTATTCTAGTGGCCAGACAGTCCTTGACCTCATTACAGCGCGCCTGGACTTTCTGAAATCGTTGGATAAGCCTCAACAATCTCCAATCAGTATTGTGGAGTTAAAACCCGACGCTGTTTATTTAAAGGACCTAGTGGATGGGACTTTCGAACACTCTTTTGTCCAGAATGAGCTTGCAATAGCGAAACTCGCTTCGGAGGTCATCCAAGATAAACTGAATTCCGAAGAATGCACTAAGTTCAAACAGCAGCAGAGGTTGAGGGCGGACTGGATTGAACGTGAAATCAAGGAGCTGGAAGCACTCGAGCAGACCTTGAAGGCTAAAGGGGGTAAACCTTTCGCGGAACTGTACCCAGAACACGCGCGGGCTGCAGATAAAGCTCAAAAATCTCCATCAACTGCTGAAGCATCGAAGGAATTTGAGGTCGCATGCACCTTCACCGATCAAGACGTAGGGGACGTAGATACAAAAGAGTATATTCCGCTGTACGTTCTTCTGACATCTCACCCCCCCTAACAACCACCTCATATAACTCCTACCATCTTCTGTCTTGCGTCTCTGCAATAGCTAAGTAGTTGTGTTTTAGGTTCCAAGCCGCATGGGATGGCGATATCGACAAGGTTAAACAGCTAACCACAGAGCCAGCCACTGTCAAGCAGCCGCGTTCTTCGCTCCAACTTACAGCAAGGCTCAGAGAACGAGAGGTGGATATCTTCACCATTGCTGTGGTTCGCGGCCACTTTGAACTGGCTCAAGGCATTCTTCAGGATGTAGACGCCCAACAATGGAAACGGGATTCCAAAAAGTCAACCCGTAAAGTATACGAGGTTGTTGTCGACAATGATAATGACTATAATAGTTACGATTCTGACTCCGAACCTGATGCGCCTGATTCTGAAGGTGTCAACGTTCGTTTTGATATTGTTGACGACGAGCAAACCATTGATGATGTCCGAGAGCTGGAAGCTGTGAGCATCGGGAAATATACTACTTCGGTGTCCCACCTCCTCAACAGGGAACGAGACATGTCCATGTTTTTAGGTGATGAAAATAAGGATACTGTGAAAGCTGATCATGCGACATTAGCTGATACTCACCTATTAAACTGGTACCGGGATCCAATTGTAAGTAAACCCTCTCCGGCTTGATTCCTGCCGTTTCTTAAACGGGTGTTATACTAAATTACTAAATTTACCACTTCACTACGAGTAGACGCAGACGGTTGATATGAATGCATTCAAGGCAAAACGCCGCATGGACTTGATGAGTCTTGCCGTCCAGCGAAATGATTTTGCAGCAGTCAAATTCTTGGTTGAGCAGAAAACACACTATCTGAGACACTCTAAAGAAGAAGACAACAATAAATCTTCCGATGAAGACAGGCATAAATTTATCACTGTTGGGAGCGACATACTCAATATGTGTCTTAGAGATGGCCGCACGCAAATCTTAGGTTATCTTATGTCGACAACAGGACTTGGATTTCCGTTTGAAGCTCTGATGAAAGAGGCAGGCGTCAAGCCTGAAACTGAACCTAAGGTATGTAACTGAGAGCAGGTATTAGCTAAATTATGGAAATTTCGCTAATCCACAACCAAGTACTATCGCGGATTATCCGTGTATGGCAAGAAACGAGCGAACTGGGCTGCCGAGAACAGCTACCGTTACTTTAGGCCGATTTTTGGTTCACACTCGTTACTCTTGCTTGCCATTAGTGAGGGTAACATTGACGCTGTTAAGTGGTTCCTTACCGATGCGCCCGAGCAGAAATATAAGGAATTCCTCCATACACATAGGGATGACGCACGGCTAGCACCTCTCTTTAAAATGAAGGGTGGAATTGATGATATGTTAGCATCCTGGCTGGATGCTCGACGTAAGTTGTGCAGTTCTAGCCGGCCTTGCCTGACACGTACATCACCAGTCCTGAACTAACATTGATTTTAGGAAATCTGGCTCTCCATTGCGCAATACTTGCCTCACCGTCAGAGAAATCTAGCGCCTCTCTGGTTCAGTTTATCCTGGAATCATTCCCGGATTCCTTGCACACCAAAAATATTGAAGGTTTCACACCCCTCCACCTAGCATTCAGTGGTCGGAGGATTACGGCTGCCAAAATGCTCGTTAAAGCGGGAGCAGACCAAGCCGCTCGGGATAACGATGGCCGCAATATGCTTCATCACATCTTTGCGTCCCACCCTTCCACTGTCCAAAGTTCCCCTAAGCTTCTCAGAACATTGTGTGATATCCTAGATCCTGAAATTGTTCCAATCCTTGCGCAACAGAGGTCCCGCTTAGAGATTGACATTAGCGGTCGTATTGGATTCGGTAGGCAGATCCCATTGTCGCAATGGCTTTCGCATGGCCCGGAGACTGAAACAGCCACACTGGAAGCCATTCTGGACATCACAGGTGGACAAGAGCTCTATATCTTGAATGAACAAGGAAATTACCCCATCCATGAGGTTATCAAGGATCAGAAAATTGATTTTGCGCGAGTTATCCTGGAGAGGGATCCTCGCCTAGCTGTTTTAGAAAATGCTACAGGAACGACTCCTTTGGAGGTCGCGGAGAACAGGCTCATATCTTACTTGGTCGATCAATATCGCATGGTGGAGGAAAAAATCGGCGAATCCGGAAACTCGAGACACTCTTATAGCTCATCGGCTCCCGTGCCCTACCGGTATTTCCTTAACAGGTGGCGGAGAGAACCCGAAAAGTTCGACCCTTCTCAGATCTACAATATCAAAGGGGATGGACCATTCATCTCATGGGATGACTGCAAAGAGGGCAAAATTCTACAGTTGCTACGTAGCGCTGCCGCGAAATCGGACAAGAAGAGGATCCTCATCAGCTTGCAGGATTCCAATGAACTTGTGAGGCGCCTCTCTTCTATTAAACCAAATACAGGTGATGCTGGCCGGCGCGCGAATCGGAGTGGTTACCACAGCGAAAGTGATGAGGAAGAGCGTGCAAAGAACGACGCTAAGGAACAAGATGAAGTAAAGAAGTGGATGGGTTATCTTTCCAGGAAAAATTTCGAGGTGGAAAGGCTTCTGGAAGAAGAGAAGAAAGCCGTATCGAAGTGAAGGGACGAAAGGACCCGAGAGTTGTTTGTTGTGTGGCCGGCTCGGGGCTTGTATGTATTCCTCGTTCATCGGATTGTTTAGAATCTGTAATGCTTCTCGGGGATTCTCGCTCTCTGCTGTTTTAAACCTGTTTCGAGAACTGACAGCTTCCTCCTCCCTTATTCTCATCCTCCCCCTGATTCACTATGAAACCTTGGAAAGAGACACGATTTCAACGCATGCATGCACGTTTCACCTGGTGAAGAGTTCTAGAAAAAATAAAATAACTAATGGATGAAACTATTATACATACCTACCTATATCCTGGTCCCTATTCTCCGGAAAATAGCTTTTACGAGCACTCACCGTGGATGTCAATTAAGAGATTTCTTGCAACGTGCCGCAACGCAGCTAGACCGAGATTGTTAGTTCGATGCCGCCTCAAAAATACTACGGAGTAGTACCATGAATAACTAGTTAACTAAGGTTTAAGATTAGTTAGTTACAATAATAATAAATTATGAGAGTCACGAGGCGAAAGCTCACTGAGTTTTTCAGCAAGATCAAGCGATATTGCACAACAGAGTTTTTTTTTTTTTTGCCGATGATGCATGTGAATACTAACTGCTCTAGGTTCAACGTACCCAGGTAGTAGTAACGGGGGCGGGTTGAGTTTGCGGCCGACAAAAGGCACAGGCAGCTGACTTCTTTATCTAATTAATTAATCAATGATGGGTTGAGAAAAATAATTAGTTAGTTAAGAGGACTACTAAGATTCATAAAAAAAGGCCCATCTATGACATCAGGGGGAGAGTTGCTTTTCATTTTGCAACGAAATTAATGCCAAATATAAGGCGTGTGTAGGGATGAAGAGCAAACAGAAAAATGAACGTGAGAGTAATCTGACGCGGGATAAAACCCGAATTACATCGAGCAGCTGATGCAAATCATCCAACAGGGTATATCCCCGGATATATTTATTCATAATATGATAGTAGTTGTTGTGATGAGTGATGATTACCAGCGTATTAATTTTCATGCCGTTAAAAAAGGCCCGCTTGCTCAAACACGCGGCGTAACGTCGCATCAAATAGCAGCAATTGGCTGGGGATCGGGGCCCGCCACCAAATCGACTCTTCGATTGCGGATTACGATGCCAACAGATCCCCCCTCGTATCAGATTCGCAAAGTTTAATCCGCAATGGGGCTTCCATTGTATGCAGGAGTTACCTGGGTCGGTGGCTTTCTTTCGTCATGGCTTGCTTGCTGCTTCCCTGCAGCGCGTTGCTGCCGGTCCAACTTTAAACCAGCATTCCCCCCAGTTTAAAATATCAAACCAGCGGAGCAGCTTGCTTGTCTAATTAACTGCTTAAAGTGCGTTTCAGAAACGCGCCTGATATTCATGTGCGCTTATTCTAGGAGGCAAAAGCCTACATTCATCTCTCGTC